TCTTTATAAATAAATATGAAATTATCTTCAAAAAAACTCAAAGAGCAGAAACATTTGTATGGAATTGGAAAAAGGTGTATATATTTAAGCATTTGCTAGTATGTGTCTAGGATATCTCTGGAAGGCACTCAGGAAACTGGTAGGAGCAGTTGCCCTCGGGAGGGAAATGGTGAAGAGGAGGGACACTGTTCACTATAAATTACTTAATACTGTTTGATTTTTACACCATGTTCATGTATTACCTAATTAAGACTTTTTTTTTTTTTTTTAAAGATGACCGGTAAGGGGATCTTAACCCTTGACTTGGTGTTGTCAGCACCACGCTCAGCCAGTGAGCCAACCGGCCATCCCTGTATGGGATCCGAACCCGTGGCCTTGGTGTTATCAGCACCGCACTCTCCCGAGTGAGCCACAGGCCAGCCCCAAGACTTTTTTTAATTAAAAGAAACTTTAGTGTTTTTTAAAAAAGGATATGGGCTGGAGGATCCCCACCTGGATGGGGTGCCGCAGGTGTTTAAGGGCCATTATGCATGCCCCCTGTAATGGATTGAATTATGTCCCCCCAAAACTCACTGAAACTTTAATTCTGTCCACCAGGTTTTATGTATTAGAAACGTGGCCCCACTGTGACTGTTAAAAGGATGGGAAATCCTATTACAGTAATTTAAAGGTGGGTCCTTGAAGAGGTGATTAGATTGTAGGACCGTGCTATAGTGAATGGATTAATAATGGTGATCAGAGGCGTGGTTCTGAGGGCTTTAAAAGAAGAGAGAGTCCATCTCTGCTCTCTTTGCTTCCACCTTCTTGCAATGTGAGACCTCTGGGTCACTGTCGCCACCACTAGAGGGACTTTGGACTTCCCAGGCTCAGAAAGTGTAAGCAATAAATTTTGTTTTCTTTGTAAGTCACCCAGTTTCAAGTATTTTGCTATAAGCAACAGAAACATACTAATACACCCCTGATGGTCACTAATGTGGACAACTGGTCCTGAGAGGCCAGGGGACAGGCCTGCATCCACGGGAGAGTGAGAGGGGATTTTCTTTAATGTAGTATCTCATAGTGGATAGAGCAGCAAAAGGAGATGGGAATCTTGGCCCCTACGAGCCCTGCAGGAGGGGTTTTGAGTCATGGGGAGCTTTAACCCCTCAGCCCATCCTATGGGCTATACTTTCAAAATAGATACAGGACTGGCCCACCTCAACCCTTCCATGGCCCCCACCCTGACCCCATCCACCCTATTTTCCAGACTGCTCCATGGAATCAGCCTCCTCACTGTCTTCCTGCTCCCATTCACCTCCACAATGTGGTTCCCGTACTCACATCGTGCAGCCAACAGGGACCCTAGGAACACCTGACTCAGATCATTACCCTCCTCTGCTCTGGTTCCACCTTAGAGTATAAGCTTTTAGCTTACTCCTGGTGGCCAGTGAGGACCCTCATGTCTGTCCCTCCCCTCTCCTCTCTGCCCACATAGCTTACCATTGGTCCCCTCGCTCACTCTGCTCCAGCCACACATGCTTCCTACCAACTCCTGGCACATACCAGGAATCTTTACGCCTCAGCGTCTTTGCACTGGCTGTCCCCTCTGCTTGGAATGCTCTTCCTCCAGTATCCACATGGCTCCTTCCCTCCCCTCCTTCAGATCTTTGACCAAGTGTCACCTCAGTGAGGCTTAGCAAACTGCTTTCTACATTCCTCATCTTCCTTCCCTGTTTTATTTTTCTTTGTAGCAGTTATCACCACCCAACACACAGTTTTTCCTATTTTCTTGGTGGCTGGCCAGTAAAGTGAATCAAACCCTCCACCCTGGTGTTACGAGGCGGTGCTCTAACCAACTGAGTGAACCCGGCAGCCTGTTTTACTTATCTTGTTTTTTGTCCATCTCTTTCAGTAGAATGTCACCTCTAGGAGTGCTGGAATTTTTCACTGTTCACCATTTTATTCCATATGCCCCAAATATTGTTGGTTCAATAAATGTCTGTTGAGGGACTGGCCCGCGGCTCACTCGGTAGAGTGTGGTGCTGATAACACCAAGGCCACGGGTTCGGATCCCATATAGGGATGGCCGGTTTGCTCACTGGGTGAGCGTGGTGCTGACAACACCAAGTCAAGGGTTAAGATCCCCTTACCGGTCATCTTTTATTTCCTTTTTGTCTTTTTTCATGTACCGGTCATCTTTTTTTTTAAAAAAAAAAAAAAGAACGTAAAGCATTCCACTAGACAGATTAAGACATACCTACTTCTGGCCCTAGAAGAGCACAGATTTTAATAAGGAAACAGAAACAAATAAACTGGACAGTTTTACATGGCAATAAAAGAGATAGATAAATGGCGAGCCATGATTATAACTGTGTAAAGAGACTAACTAAGCTGGAGTGATCAGGAAGTGACATTTGAATTAAGACCTCAAGGCTTGTTGGACGGAAAGGAGTGAAGACCTGGGAGGAGAACATCCAGGCAGAGGGAACAGCTAACGCAAATACCCTGAAGCTGGAATGAGCTTTGGGCATTTGATAAACGGAGGGAAAGCCAGTGTTTGTGCAACTGGAGAGGGATAGGCCTTAGGTTCATTTTATTTTTTTGGCGGCTGGCCAGTACTGGGATCCGAACCCTTAACCTTGGTATTATAACACGGCTCTCTAACCAACTGAGCTAACCAGCCAGAGCAAGGAATAGCTTCAGGTTTAGAAGGGAGGGTCAGATTATGCCTTGTGGGGTAAGGAGGGGAGCGACTTTTTCTTTCAGAAAACAAAATTACCCAGCTGTGGTAATTTCCAGCTGTTCCTTCCACTCTTTGGGCCTGTTTTACCTCATCTGTGAAACAGGGTTAGATTTCTGAGATCCGCTCTATTTCCGGACCTTCTTGGCACTCATGACCACCCTGACGAAGGTAACATTGCCATCGATGAGGAAACAAGGCCCAAGAGACTAAACCACTGTCCCCAGGCCACAGAGCTAGTAAGTGCAGCCTCCATATTTGAACCCCAGGAATGTGGCTCCAGAGCCCGTGCTCTTAACCTGCATTCCATCCTGCCACCCGCACAACCACAACTAGAACCGCCACTTACAAGCTGTAGCATTTGGGGTTAGTCACTTGCGTCCCCTGAGCCCGTTTCCCCATCTGTACAATGTACACCTCAAGCGACACAACACTTGGCTGACCAGGAGGCATGACGCCCGAATCCCAAACAACCGCGCGACTTTCTGTCTGGTAGGGGGTGGGGGCTGGGGTAGGTTTTAGGGGAGAGGGACGTGGAGCCCGAATGCAGCGGCTCAGCGGTCTTCCCAATCTTTTCTTGCCTGGTTTCCTCCATTTAACTGCTGAGCAACTCTCGGTCTCCCACCACCTCCCCGCTCCCCCCACATTTTTTTTTTCCGGGATGAAAAGAGGTCGTGGTCCCTTTAAGGCCCGCCCCTCCCTCCCCCAAAACTTCCCAGTGTCGGCTCTCCTTTCGATGCGGGACGGCCGGCCAGGCTCGCCGCCGAGCTGGTAGGGGCTGGGGGCGAGGGGTCGGGGAGGGGCGCGGGGGAACTGGTGGGAGGCGCCACCCGCGGCCCGGGGCCGCTGTCCGAGCGGAAGGGGTGGGGGAGGGGCGGCGGCCGGGAGCGCGGGGGTGCAGAAAACGGCGAGCGGTCTGGAACGTGCAGCGCCGGGGACGGTTCCGCCGCGTTCCGTCCGCGCGCGCCGGCGCGAGGGGCGTCCGGACCGGGCGCGCGGGCGGGGAAAGGAGGGTCCCCCTCTCTTCCCCTCCCCCCACCGCATTCTTCTGACGTCGGGACCACGAGACCCCGCCCTTCAGTGAGGCCTGCCCCGCCCTCCTGTCGTCGCATGGGTCACGTGTTTCAGACATAGCGCTGGCCCCTATTCTGCAGGCGTTTCCGAATATTCTTGGTGTGACTGGGAGCTGATTTACGTCCCTATCAGACTCCCCCCGCAAAACTTCCCTGTCTTCCATAACGGCAGACCCTCTAGGTCTGTCCCACTCTTTTAGTGTCATTGACTCCATTTCAAAGTTAGTTTCCACGAAGACCTCCTACTTCGGGAACCCTCTTTCATCTTGGTGGAAAGGATCCGGCGCACCTTTGAGGGCGTCCCCCGTGTTATCCCGACACTACCCTTGCTAAGTGCGCTGTCCTGCAGGTAGCTCTATAACGTTAGAGCTCTCACAGGTCGGGATCCAGGGTCAGCCCTAGTCTGCCCCCTGCCCGCGGGAACTGAGGCCATCCTGCCCCCAGGTTCCTGTTATTACGTTTCACAAGAGCCTGGAGACTGAGGGAGGGCTTTCTTTGCAGTGCAATCTGGGGTGGTCTTGCTCCAACCCCGAGGAGCGAAGGCCCAGCGGATGCATAGATCACAAGAACGACTCTTTTGCAGAGCGCTTGCCCTGTGCTAGGTGCTGTACAGGGTGCTTGGTTAGGCGGGCCACCCTCACTAAGGCTAAGGCAAGGACCACCACTCCCTTTCCCACACAGGACTTCCATACAAGGGAGGAGACAGGCTTTTGCAGACTGTGAAGACCCAGAGTCATCAGGGCTGTCACGTGAAAACCATTGGCCTGAGTTATAGAGGGTGGGGGGGTGGAAGCTTGGGGATCTGGGCTGACCCATGAACTGAGACCGCAGGGACAAGAAGAATTAGACCTTAGCTCCTGCAGGAGAGTAGGAAACTATTCCAAGAGGAAGGGGATGCACGGCCAGAGATCAAAAGGTGCGCAAAACACTCGGTAGAGTGCGGCGCTTGGAAGTGCGGCGGCGCTCCCGCCGAGGGTTTGGATCCCATATAGAGACAGGTCCGCTCACTGGTTGAGCGGGGTGCGGACGCGACACCGAGGGTTGCGATCCCGTTACCGGTCACGAAAAAAGACAAAAAGGAAAAAAAAAAAAAAAGGTGCGCAAAAGAGTCTCCCACCTCTGCAACCTGAAAGGAGTTATTGTGACTGAATTTAGAGGTGAAGTGGTGAAATGACGCTGGTGAACTGGGCAGGGTCCGAAGACAGCAACAGTGAGTGGTTTTGTTTTGTTTTATTTTAGCAGTGAGTGGTTTTAAAATGAGGGAAAGGATCAGATTTTGAATTTTAAAAAATTCCTCCAGCATTGGGTAGGTTGGAGGTGGAAAGGAATGAAGTATAGTGACGGGGACAGAGCTGCCCTGGAAGCTGCCTTCCGTCTTAGTCTAGTCTTCCGGCGCTGCACATAGCAATCACTCAATAAATACCCCGGGTACTTCAGGCCATAGTTCTCTTACAGGGTTGCCCGCCATGGGAGCAGGAGAACATACTCGCGCATGCGTCCTCGCCTCCAATCTTTTGCTAGACTACGCCAGAGAGCCTACCCTGCAGTGGGTTTCCTCTTTTTCACCCAATCAGACTATCAGTGTCTTATAACCTGGCGAAAGGATAGTTTTCCACTCTCAATTGGCCAATCAGGTGGAGATGTAGAAGATGGGCATCTGCAGTCACCACTGGGGAGAGGATAAAAGGGAGGGGCTTCTTTGCCTCCCGGCGGAGCGGCGCGGGAAAGTAATCGTTGTGACCGGGGGACTAAAGACTTTCGGTCTGAGGGATTATCGAGAAAGCCAATGAAAGCAGGAAGGAGGCAGGGCTTCTCAGAAGGCTTGGCGCCCCGCTCCTATCAGGTGCTCCTCGGGAATTCAGCCAGTGCCAGAAATCCGACCTATCAAAATGGAGTTTATTTTAAGGCGGCGGAGTTGCCGGAATGACTGGCAGAAGGCGCTTGCCTATAAGGAGTGTCTCAGACAAACGAGGGCGGGCCCTCCTGCAGAACGGCGTGGGCAGTATCCAATAGGCACGCAAGGCGTGCATCGACTTCCCCTCCCCCCGCGGCGGGACCAGTGGCTCCCCCTATCGGGTGGGGGCGGCGGGTGACGGGCGTGTCCCTCCCCCAATGAGAGGCGGGGGGAGGCGGGTTCTGCGCCGCCATGTCGCGGAGGCTGCTGCCCCGGGCGGAGAAGCGGCGTCGGCGGCTGGAGCAGAGGCAGCAACCGGACGAGCAGCGGAGGCGGTCGGGAGCGATGGTGAAGATGGCGGCGGCGGGCGGCAGAGGCGGCGGTGGCCGCTACTACGGCGGTGGCAGTGAGGGCGGCCGGGCCCCTAAGCGGCTCAAGACTGACAACGC